GTGATGACAGAACCTCTGTGCTTTTAAATTCTTCCCTCCCACTAGTCTGGGAATGTGTTTACCTGGGAGGTGTATTGATCTGTGGTCCCGTGACGGGCACGTAGTAGGTCTCCAATCAATCTGGCCACTTGGGGCTCTGACACTGGCCACCCCACCCTCTGCTGGGCTTCATTTGTTGGTGGCTCAGTTTCTCTGGAAGTTGGCACTGCTTTATCAGAAGGCTGCAGGTGACAGTCGTAAATAGAAGTGGCGGGAACTGCTCAGGAGATGAGAAAAAAATTCCTAATATCATCACCTCTTGTTGATCCTAGAAAAATTTATTCTCCACTGGAACCCTGCCACTTCCTAGGCTGTGTCCATACCCCACCCTTGGCCACCAGTCAGGAACAAAAACAATTTAGAATATTGTCCTCACGAGAGCGCGGCAAGGGAGAGAATGTGTGACACACGAGCACACACACAGGTCACCAACTCTCTTGGGACAGACAGTGGAGGTCTGACGCTGACAGTTAACATAGGCTGCCCCTCTATAGTAATACCTTTTCCAGGCCCAAGTACAAAATCTCCCACTATAATTTACTTATTTTATTTTGGTACCGGGGATCGAACTCAGGACCTTGTGCTTGCGAGGCAGGTGCGGCACCACTGAGCTAAATCCCAGCCCCCTGTAATTGCCTTTATAGAACACCTAAGTACACATGGAACACTTGGGAGTACAGAGCCACAGAGAGAAAGTGGGGAGAGAGACAGACCAAGCTTTGTGTGGAGATGCCTTCTGTTAGTAATTTCTTAGGCTCCTTCTAGACTTTTTCTCCTAGATCCATGCATGTGCTCGCATAAGCATTTATGTTTCTTTTAAAATATCAGGATTACATTGTTTTTGGAATCTTGCCTTTTAAAAAAGTGAACACGTGGCTGGAATGTCTTTCTGTGTCCCTCTGTGCATGGCTTCTGGTGGCTGACGGATGTCACCAGACCCCAGCTCCACCCCCAAGCCCCCCGTTTTGCCCCAAATGAGGAGCTGCTGCTTCCAGCACAGCACCAGCCCCTGCTGGTCCTCTAGGGAGGGCGGAGCAGGCCGTCCGGCCTTCTGTCAAAGGTCCTGTTCCCCATGGTTTCATCCGGGCCCCCAGCTCTCAGGCAGCACTGGTCAGCCCTGCTGGGAAAGGCCCCCTGGGAATGGCCAGGACCCAGGAATGGCCACGTCCAGTTCCCCCCAGGTGCCCATGAGGGAGGTGACTCTCCGGAGGGCTGAGGGTGACTCAGCGGCTTGGCTTGACTGCTCCAGAGTGCTGGGAACCAGCCCTGGGTGCTGTTGTGCTGGGGAGGAAACGTCTCTTCCTGGGAGCGGGGGCAAAGGCCCTGGGGTACCCAGGCCTGCAAATGTGCAGGGCTGTGGGGGACACTGTCCCATGTGCTCCTCTCTGCCCAGTTGGACTGTGGCTATGTAGGATGTGAACTTCCTGTGCCCTGTGCACCAGGTCAAGCCTCGTGGAGGCAGGGAGGGGACTGGAGAAGGGCTCTCAGCTAGGCAGGTAAGAGGTTTGGCTGCTTCTGTCATGGCTTTACCCTCTATTAGTCAAATGACCTTGTGCAATTGCTCCTCCTGCCTGAGCCTCAGTTTCCTCATCTGTCATGTTGAAGCCTTCTCTGCCCATCCCAGCTCACTGACCTCAGTCAAATAATGGGCGTTGCCCATTGGCTCATGGAACCAAACCACTGCCTGGCAGGGTGGAGCTGCCCGGGGGTGGTTGGATTAAGGACCCAATCTCTCAACCTCTCTCCTCTTTCTCTCCCTCCCTTGCTTCTCTTTCCCAGCATCTTCCTTCTCAGCCTGGAAGCTCCTCCTAGAATCCAAAAGAACGCAGTTGGGGAAACTTTAAGGAGTAAAACCTCTGGATTGGTCATCATGATGGGGTGGGGGGGGGTGAAGATGCCGTACTTTGATTGGTCCAGTGTGAGTCATGTGCCTGTGTCTGGTTCAATTGGTGGGGCTGATGAAAGTGGAGTATTATGATTGGCCCCCTTGAGGAGGGAACTCACCCACTGGCCAGGGAGGACATGGGGGGGAGTGGCTGGCAGCCCCCAGGGGAAAGGACCACCAGACTCTGCCCTCTGTAGGGCACTAATTGTGTCTTTTCTCTGCCCTGCATACAATAGCACTTAATATCCTTGGCAGTGGAGTTATTGGCACCCCAAGGTTCCTTGGAGGTCTACATAGCTGCTATGGCCTTCATAAGATACATCCTCATCAGAGGGGATGTTTTTTTTTTTCTTTTTGGTACCAGGGATTGAACTCAGGACCTTGTGCTTGTGAGGCAGGCTGCAAAACCACTGAGCTAAATCCCAGGCCCAGGGAGGATCTTGTTTAATAGCTGCTTAGTGTGGGGACTCACCTGGCTTGTCTGCTGCTGAGCCCCAGTGCCCTGCCTGCCTCCCGGTGTCTGGTACAAACGAGCAGTCAGTTTGTGCACGTGACAGGGATGAGTGACCATCAGCTGTCCCTCACACCCAGCACCTTCCAGGGAGGAGCCCGCACTGCTACTGGAGGTTGGTCACCGCCTTCTCCACCCCTCTTCCGTCCTGTTTCTGTTTTGTTTGTGCCCCTGGTACATGAATGACTTCTGGGTGCCTCACTACCAGCTCTGCACACACACCAGCTCTATGGTTCATTTTTTAATATAAAGAGAATTTTGCTTTTACTGAGGTGCTAGACATATCGGTGTTTATATTTGTGTTATCACCTCAAAAGCAAGTAATTTTGTCTATAATGTTGAAAGTTTTGAGGAAATTTCTGATAGGATTAATATTCTTGGGAGCTGTTCCACCTGTGACAGGGGGATGTGCGGAAGGGTCATGTTCCTGGGGGGTGATACTGTTACTGGAACTGAGTTTTCTGTTGACGCCCCGGCTTCTCTGCACCTTCTTACTCTGTAGTCAGGGACATGGCTAGGACCTTCTGGTGCACAGTTAACACAGATGGTCATGTTCTGCACATTGACCTTGTTGGAAAAGAAAAAGTCACAATAATTCACTCCCTACTTATGCTTGTTTCTCCTCGTCAGACTTATTACTGCCAAAGGGCTTACTGAACAGAGAAAGGATGAGAAGAAACAGCAAGGTCCACAGCTGTGGGCTCACCATGCATATAGGAGGGCTGAATTCCCGAAGCTCCAGTGCCCACTGCTCACACTTCTGGCTCGCCCTGGTTCTGTGTCTCCCTGCTGGTGCTGTCCAGTCTGATGGCCTGGTGTGGACAGGCACAGGGCCGCTGGCACAAGCAGCAGTGCCAGGGCCCCAGCCAGGGCAGGTGCTGTGGCTGCCTGCATCTCGTGTCTCAGGAAGGGCCCCAGGCTGGTCCCCAGAGCTCCCCTGTGTGCTGCCACCCCGAGAGGTGCACACAACCCAAGTGCCTGTGCTGAAGAAGCTGCCTTCTCTCACGTCACTCTCAGTTGCCCTCTGCTCCACAGAGACTTGACTGGGACAACAAAAGCTAAAGCAGGTCCAGCGCTGGGTCAGCTGTGTCGCCGGGATATGACAATTTGGGAAACCAGAACATGTGACCCTTCTCTTCCTTGGGCTCCAGGGACTGTCCCAGGATAGCACTGTACAGCAGCTGTTCTCCTGTTCGGGGTCACCTGTCGTCACAGGGCACAAGGTCTGAGTGGAAAGTGTATTGGCTCAGGGTCCACGGGAAGGCGGCCCAGAGTCCCTGCTAGGGTTTTCCCAGGGGTTGCCTAGCGACTGAGCGTAGCCCAAGATGGCGACGAAGGTGGGGCTCTCATGGAGTGCACAGCTTCTGGCTCAGACTCCTGCCCGGAGCAGGCTGGGTCCCACTTCCTCTCCTCATCTCGGCCCCTGTGACTCCCCCACATCCCCCCTCCAGCCCCTCAGCCACGGGGACCTTCTGCTTGTCTTGAGCCAGGACCACCACGTGGCTGTGGAAATCAGTCAGTGCAGTCTTGGGCAGAGGCAGAAGGTCAGGTTTTCCTTACACTGCTGGTTCAGTCCATCTGTCCGCCAGTCCATCAGTCATTCAGTCCGTCTTCCGACACTTTGCAGTGTTCCCTAGCATCGAACCCACTGTGTGGCTAAAGCCCTCGCCCACACCCCAGCCTTCGCAGGTGGGGGCACAGCTCTGAGGGTGGCACCATAGAACTGATTTCTCCCTGCCCAGTGCTGAGCACCTGCATCCTTGGTGTCTATCCCAGTGCTAAGTGGATGAACCAGACCAGGCTGGGTCCTCACACAAGTGGGTGACCAGGGGACAGCGTCCCTCTCTCAGGAGAGACAGGGCCACTGGAGAGGCCAGCTCTGACAGCTCTGAGTCTGAAGGGCCTGCGGGGAAGGGCTCAGACCTCGGTCCTGAGGGTGAGCACGGGGACTTTGGGGTGGGGGTAGGGGAGCTTGTCTCCAGCCGGCCAGGGCGCTTGGGAAGTGGCAGCATGGGGTAAGGTCCTTATGCCTGGATTGGGCTGAAGCAGACAATTGCGGAACTTGTGCAGCTGTTGGCAGGAGCGGCACAGTGGCCTGGGGTGGAGTCACAGACGGGTCCCTGATCTTGGGCTGCCTTGGGCCGCGTTAGGGAAGCTTAAGTAGGCTCGTGACCTGCACAAACACAGCAATGGCTGGCCTCTCCTAGGATGTCACAGTGACAGGAAAGCTGTCAGGGGCCCAGGATGCAAGGGACACAGGCCAGTGACACAAAGCAGGGCAGAGAGGGGCTCGTGCCAGTCTGCTGGCCTTGGTTAAGCAGTGGGTACTTCTGGGGAGGGAGGGGCTTCCTGGGGGCAGTGGATCTGAGGGCCTGCTGGCCAGGGCCTGGGTCCGCCTCCTCTTCCCTGCTTGAACTCCTGCTGGCCCTATCTTCAGTGGAGTCTGGCTTTGGTCACCGACAGCAAGCCGTGCACCCCGTGGCGCAGTGCAAATCTGGTCAGCCTGGACCTGCAGGCTTGAGTTGTCCGAGACAGGTGGGGCCATGTGTGGCTCAGTTTCCTTTAATTGCTAGGACCTCTGCTCAGTGGGGGGCCGAGTGGCCCTGAAGCTCTCCTCCCAGTCCCCGAGGGCTGTGGTCACCGGGTCACAGGCTGCTTCGCCCTGGCCTTCTTCTCCTTCTGGGCCTTGTGGGTCTTGATGGGGTCCTCTGGGCCAGGGCTGGGGGGTGGGAAGGACAGGGGGCCCCTGAGACTCAGCATCCGCCTCTGGAGCCTCAGATCCAGGATGTCAAAGGCCGCCTGGACCTCGTGCTGCAGCTGCTCTCCCAGGCGCTTGATCTGGATACCGATGGCCTCCTGGACGAGACGCTCCAGCGCCTGCAGGGACACAGGCAGGGAGCAGGACTCTGGGTCCTTCTCCCCCTCAAAGGGCCTGGCCACTTCTCTGAGGGGAGGAGGACCAGGTCCCCCTCCTGTGCCAGCTGTGAGCAGCCATGGCCACCCTTCCCGTCCCCAGCCTCGCCTGTACTTGCAGCTCACGTTGTGGGGTCCACTCGCTGCCCTCACCTCCCCTTCAGTCCTGGGTGGCAGGCGTCCCGCCTGTGGTGTCACCTGTTGCTAAGCTAGCTCTACCCACAGCCTGGTCTCACACATCCTATCCTGTTCTACTGCCTGCTCCCTTCCAGCTGCTTGGCCGCCTCCCCCGTGCCCACATCCCCACGTCCAAGTGGGGCTTTGTGGAGGCGACAGGAGACAGCTTCAGAGAGCCACGTGCCTGGGAAGTGCCCCTCCATCCGCCATGCTGGCGCGAGGCCCTTCTGCCACCTCCCTCGGGCTGCTGGTGTCCTAGGGTCCCGGAGACAGGACGGACGTGTCTGTGGTTGTTACCCCTGGCTCCTGCCTGAGCAGCCAGGCGAGAGGAGGGGCTCACCTCTCGGCCCAGGCCCTTGGCCCCCGGGGCCCCGGCGCACGAGAACGCCTTCTCCAGCAGGCGCGCCTCTTCCGCGCGCAGCGCCTCCTTCAGGAGCTGCACCTCATTGCGCTTCTGCTCCTCCTCCGTCAGCAGCGCAGCCACCTGCTGCTCATGCCGCCAGGTGTCCCTGTGCGTGCCCTGGGCCAGCGGCAGGGGCTGGGGCGGGGTGCGCACCTCCAGGCGGGTGACCGTCAGGTGGACGTCCCGCTCCTGGCCCAGAACATACTGGTAGAGCCTGTAGTGGCGGATGAAGGTGTTGTGGAAATAGTCGCAGAGGGCCAGCAGGTGCCGGGTGGTGAACTGCCGCTGGTAGTCCCTGAGCTTGTTCCCCAGGATCGTCACAGCCTCGGTGATGGAGCCGCCTGCGGGCACAGAGGGACCGGGACGGTGTGACCCTCAGAGGCGGTCTGGCCACACAGCATGAGACTTCGATTCCGTGTTGATATCTATCTATCAGCTCTTGAAAGCCATGGAGTGTATCACATTTCCCTTTTTACCTTGGCTTCCAGGAAGCTCAGAGCTTTGTTTATGGCATAATGGCCATAACATACTTATCCCACTTTTCTATGATTATCTCACTCCTTATGTGAGTTTTGTCTTTTAACTCCTGTTTTAAAGGCTTACTTTGGCTGAACTGTATGTTGTTTCTACTTAAAACTTCTAGGAAGGAGATGAGGGTGTGAACAGCAGATCTGAGGGTGGGGCTGACTGCAGAAATGCCCAGGCATCAGCCACTTCAGGACGGGCGTGTTGATGCTGTGCGAAGGGTCAGCTCTGGGGACATCAGGGTGGGCAGAAAGCCCCCCTCCCCTCCTGCTTGTGCCCTTCAGGAGCCCCAGCAGAGGCAGGGCAGGGTTCCAGAGGGTGCCGGCTGGATGCTGGCCCCTCCTGGTGACGAATATGGGGCAGAGGAGGAGGGGACACAGCTGTGTGGCAGTGTCCACCCTCGCTGTGCTGGGGACTGAGGACAGAGCTATGGCTGTCTTAGAAAAGTAGTAGTGGAGCTGGCCCTGTCTTAATGCAAGAACTCTGGGAGGCTGAGCTCAGCCTGGGTAACTCAGCCACTTATGGAGAACCTGGCTCAAAAGTTTTAAAAATTTAAAAGGAGAGTTGGGGATGTAGCTCAGTGGAAAGGCCCTAGGGTTCTGGTAGAGGGAGGAAGAAAGAAAGAAAGGAAGGAAAAGAGGAAGGAAGGACGGGAGGAAGTTCGCTCCTTTCTCCTGTTGGCCTCCTGAGAATGGACTGCGGCTGCTTCTCCCAGCAGGTGCCCAAAGGAACCTCTGCCAGGCCACACCTCAATCCTGGTGTGGGGCCCAGGGTCACAGCGATGGCCTCCTTCAGAGCTGACCCACAGGGCAGAGGCGGGGGCTGTGCTCTGGCCAGAACCCAAGTGATCTAGGCCACCCAGGCCCCCAGCTGACCCCCACTTTGAGCACACACATTTTCAGTTGGGCCAAAGTTCTCAAACACAACAGTGGTCTATGGTGTCCGAGGCTCAGCCCTACCCACAATTCCTAGGCCCCTGAACTGTTTCCCTCTGTGTTCCCCTGAGGGTCACACAGATGTTCCAGGGGGTGGTGAGCAGGGTTTGTGCTCCCCAGGATCCCGATGGTGGCTCAATCCTGTGATCCAGAACCACAGGGTCCTTTCTAAGGCATAGCCCCCTCCTCTGCACACCCTGGCCCATCTCAGAGACCACGCTGCTCTGCTGTGGCGGAAATCTTGCTTGTGCCCCTTTTGCTTCTGGGGAGGGGTGAGAGCCCCTAACCCGGAAGCCCAGCAGGGCGGGAGTCCTCCTGAAGCTCAGGGCGCAGGACGGGTGTGGGAGGAGAAGATGCTTGGCAGAGGATGGTGGGCAGGGAGGGTCACGTGCTCGAGTGTTTGCCCCAGTGGAGCTGAGTTACTAGGAGGCAGAGCAGGGCTCTGCAGGACTGAGATGGCAGTGGGAAGGCTCCAGGCCTCCAGTTTGGACAGAGGCACTCAGCAAGGGCCTGCAGGCCACACGGAAGGGCTGGACTGGACCACAGAGGCCTGGGACAGGCAAGATTGGGCTTCAGGTCTGTCTGGGACCCCAGGATTGCACCCCAAATTTCTCTCCAGGCAGTGATGGCCTTCCTGCAAGTGAAGAGCTGCAGCTGAGCTTCCGGGCCCTGCAGAAGCGAGAAACAGGGCTAGGGCTCCAGGGCAGCTTGGCCAAGGATGGCCCCGGGTGGGCACGAGGGCACCTTTGGTGACCATCACAGCTGTGCCGCAGGCCCCTGGGAGGCGACTGTGTGTGAAGTCCTGCAGGTGACTCATGGGCCTCTCAGTTGCTCCTCCTTGAGGTGGGGTCAGCTGCTTCTCTACCTGGGTGACCAAATCTGCTTCCTCCCTGGCCTCTCTCTGCAGCCCCTGGCTGTCATGCACAGAGCGCAGACCCTAGACCTGAGGTGGGTGCACATGGTGTTGTTCCAGCATCTCCAGGGTTGTCATATGGGACCTGCCCTGCTGTGGTCATGGCTGGGAGGGAGCCTAAGAGGTAACGGAACCCCAGTGTGGCTCTCTTCCCAGAGCCCTGGCTGAGTTCCGACTTCCAGCCCCAAGATGCTGCTCCAGCCCTTTGGGGCTTCGGGTTTTGGCCCATCCAGAGCTGGCTCAGGGACTCTCTTGGCCCCAAGACCCTGCTCCCTGCACCCCAGTGACTCAGAAAGTGCCAGGATTAAGTCTAGCAGAGCAGACAGATCTGTGCCTGCAATCCCTCTTCAGTCACAGGGAGTGGCCCTCCTTTGCATAGGCTGTGGAGAACTTCCTGAAGACGTCCCCCAGCCCCTGGAGGCCAGCACCTGCAGGCTGAGCGGAGGGAGCCAGGAATGGGGGAGGCGGGGGCAGGAGTGACACAGGGCATGCGGGCCTGTGGTGGAGGGGGACAAGGGGCCATGGGTGTCCAGGCATAGCTGTCTGGTTGTCTTGGACTCGGCTGGGGCAGGCAGGGAAGAGCCAGGTCAGGCGGAAGCACAGCTGGCTTCACTCTTCCAGGGCTTTTAGGCTTTGGGCTGCCCCACAGCATCCCGTCTCCCCAGCTCTGCCCCATCCCCTTTCTGCTCTGGGGCAGGTGCTGTCAATGCCACTTCCCGGAGTGGCTCTGTGATGGCAATAGGTGGGCATTGTCCTCTGGGGACGCCTGGACCGCTCAGCCTCCCAGCCCGCCACCCCTGGGTGAAGCTGGTGGAAGCCGCATCACCTCTACCTAAGGAGAAACTGAGGCTCAGAGAGGCTGAAGGATTTGCTCAGAGGCACACAGCCTTCAGTGGCACCAGCCACCCGGCTCCATTGGCTTCAGGGCCTCTGTGCAGACCTCGAAGGTGGACGCTGGAAGGGACCCTTGCCCTCTCGATCAAGTTTTTTCACAAGATGTTCTTTGCTAGGCATTTCATCAACTCAGCCAGAGACCTTAAGATACAAGGGATCCAAGGAAGTTCAACAGAGCCTTAATATGCTAATGAGCTCAGGAAAGAATGCTAATGAGCTCAGGCATTCTCACAAAGGGCCCGGTGAGTTCAAAGTTTCTGTCTGGGGCAAACAGTCCCTCTGGACCCATAAGCACGCTTGGGAAATACTGAGCCAGTCTAGTCCTGTTCTGCAGCGTAGGGGGTTAGGACCTGGCAGCAGTGCCCTCTCTGTTATCACTGCCCTGGGCCCCCGGACTCCTGGGCTGGTGAGAAGTCCCTCAGAGTGTGACAGTGCAGGGAAGGGAGGGAGGGCAGGGAGAAGACCCAGAAATGGGGCTGCCCTGGCCTCCCTGCTTCCTAGGGTGGCCACTGGCAAAGCCTCCAGCTGAGCTGTGCAGAGAGGACAGTCTGGTCCCTTCCACCTGTCACCTCGCCAGTCCTGATGTGCCCAGGGCTGGGGTAGGCAGGGGCAGGACAAGATGGCAGGCCTGGGCTCACGCTGGCCTCCTGTCACCAGCACGTGGGCCCGTCACTTTGCTCTCTGGGTGGTGGTGGGTTCTTTGTTCCCCAGAGGCCTGGCTTAGATGAGCGATATGCAGACTTGGGGTCCATGGCGAGCACTCAACAAGCGCTGTGGTCACCGTAGTCCTCCTTCCACATCCCCAGGGCTGTGTGGCGATGTGGAAGGCAAGGCGCCTCCCCCAGAGCCTCGAGTCCTGGCGCTGAGTGGCCTCTAGCTGTCTGGGTTTGGCGGTCACAGATGGCTCTGCTGATGGAGAGGTGTAGAGGGGCTCCCCAGTACCAGCCAAGGGAAGAGGAAGCAGGGAATCGGCAGTCCCCTTCACAGGGAGGGACAGCGCTTCCAGACCGGCACTCGGGAAGGAAGTGGTGACATCCTGGTAACCCTGGCCCTTGCCAGAGGACAGCTGCGTCTCAGAGCCTGAGAGAGGGTTCTTGGTCTGTGTAGTTGGGTGGGGATGTGGACACGACCGTCTCTGCGGTCCCTGCAAGTGAGGCTGCAGCGATTTCCATGGGCTCAGTCCCCCACCAGAGCCACAGCCAGTGGCTGCAGGCCAAGTTCTGCTGCCGACACCAGCGTGGGGAGGGGCCGATCTGGAGACACCCTGTGTCACACCTGAGATGAGGACCTCCGTGTCTCAGGGAGGAGTGGGCCCACGTCCAGCCGGATGAGGAAGAAGAGATGAGCCAAGCTCACATCATGGGGCCGAGGCCTGGCCTTGGGGGGGCTGCATTCTGCCCACACACAGCCGGCCGCAGCAGGCCGGAACACAGATCACCCTCTGTGCTGGCCTGGACGCCCACCACGGGCAGCTTCCTGCAGGGGCTCCGATTGCTCCCCGTCCCTGACCATGAACACAGCACCAATACCAATCTCTCTCATCTGGCTCTTCCAGGTGCTTCCTGCAGCCAGGGCCTCAACCAAGCCCCAAGTACTGGTCCCCGGGGCAAGATGCAGCATCACAAGGCACAGCCGTCAAATCCTGACACCACTCACTCCAGGCGTCATCTTGGGCAGGCGTCTTAACCTCCCGTCTATGGGACCAGGCTGTAGTGATGCTTTGGTGGGACCAGGCTGTAGTGATGCTTTGGGGGGATCAGGTGAAAGGCTGGACTCAGGCAAGGCCAGCCTAGCCAGGGAAAGCAGGGGCAGGTTCCCAAGGCACAGTGCTGATTTCCAGCCTCCTTACTGACAAGCATCACTTGGAGTGGTGGCCTCACACTATGATGTGGGCCATGTTGTGGCCGCACTACATTTCTGAGCCACAGCCCTGACCCATGGCCCTCCAGACCAGCTGTCAGGAGATAGGGCCTTGAAGAGGTGTGTGGGATGAAATCAGCTCATAAGGCTGGGCCCCAATCCGGTCCGGCCAGCGTCCCTGTAAGAGGGGACTGGGACACAGCACACATAGAGGGAGTCTGCAAGGACACGGAGAAGGCAACACCCACCAGCCCAGGATAAAAGTCAGGAGGAGCCGGCCCTGCAGACACCTGCCTCACACGTCTGGCCTCCAGCGTGGCAAGGACACAATGTGTCTCTGGCCCGTGGCACTCTGTGGTGTGGCCTAAGACACCCAGGAAGGAATCTCTGAGGTGACAGCTGCCCATTTGTCCCAAGAAATGCTCTGTCCAGGTCTCAGCCAGTGGTCTTGATGGAAACCTCCACAAAGAAGTAGCCTCCAAACACACCTGCCCTGCTGAGTCTGGGTGTTCGCCCTGCGGCAGTGGGGCACCCATCTCAGGGTGCCAGGGCAGCATTGCTCCCCGCAGGGCCGGTCCTGGGGTGCCTGCCAGGGCCCCTCGATGTGGGGTGACAGTGCAGGCACTGGCATGGCTCTGCGGGGGGCTGTGGCGCATCGTTGCCTCCTCCGGGCCCTGGCTGCTCCCAGCAGGCGGGTGGCTGCCTTCCCCTGCTCTAGCGGCCTGGGTGACATTTCCTGAAGAATCAGGAGCAGCTGTGGGTGGAGCTGCAGATGCCAGGACCATGACACGCTTTGCCCACCTCCATGTGCTTCCAGGGCCTGGGCCTCGAGGCTGGCTTCCTCTTGGCCTAAGGAGCTGGTGGCCAGGCCAGCAGGAAAGGGGGGTCTCCCTGTCCCAGGCTGCTGCCTGCCAGGTGCCCATGGTGACAGGAGGCCTTAGTGGCAGAGGTGTGGCTGGGGATGGTAGTGCAGGTGATGGGGCTGCGCCCCCTTTCCCTCCCTGTGAGGGGCCTCACGAGCACCCTAAATCTCTGTGCTCCCTCTTCTTGCAGGTTCCTCCCACTAGCACATCCCACACTGGAAGAATTCTGCCCCGAAGTGACTTCATCCTCTGCCCCAAGGGACAGCTGGGTGTGATCTGTGTAGGGCTTCTCGGACACTGGCCAAGAAGGTGCCAAGCAAAGACTTCTGGCCCGGAGTGGAGGCTAGAACATCCGGGTGAGCCCTCTGCTTGCCAGGATGGAATCAGCTTGTGCCTTGAATCCGGGGCAGCCCTTCCCTCTGGACCCGGCTCTACCGGGTGAGGAGATAGGCCTCGCTGGCAGCCGGTGTGGCAGAGCTGAGTCACTGTTGTGCAAACATCGCCCTCCTTATGTGCTGCCTGCCAGCCTCGCGTTATCATCTAGTCCACTCGCCCACCCTCGGCCCCAGATCAGCCACAACAGTGTCCCCGGGGGAGCCACCTGCCGAGGAGCTGGAACAGAAACGCTGGCCCGTGGCCCACCAGTGCCCTGCAGCGCCCACACCTGCATCTGTCGGTGCCCGAGCCTAGGCGGGGGCAGGGGGAGTGCGCCGGGATCCCACCGCCAGTCTTCCGCCCTGGGGTCCGCCGCCCCCATCCAGGGCAGCGAACAGCTTCCGCGCTCTCACCCAGGGGCCCGCAGGCTTGCCCGTGTTTGAGCCCCATGTGGGCCACAGAGCCGAAGGGCTGGACTGGAGGCCTCCCTGTGGGAGGAGAGTATGGGGCAGAATGGCGGCGCGTGGCTCCTCCTCGAAGACCGCGCCTCCTGCCTCACCTCTGCAGCCGTGGACGCCAGGTGGCTCCTGACCGAGCGCCGGGCACGTGACGGTCGCCTGCTCTGCATTTTGCGCGATCTGCCCTTCCCGTGCCCCTGCCACGGGAACGGAAACGATTATCACAAGAGGGTTCACCTACATCCCCGCGGCCAGCAGCCGTGCAGGAGGAGGTGGGATATGAACCGGGATCTCGGCCTGCAGGTCTGTGCCTCACAGCCCCCACGTGGCCTCTTAGATAGCTGCAAATGGGGAAGCAACCTGGGGCGGAGCGGGAGGATGGCGACCCGAGCATCTGGAGCGCCTCTGAGAAGTCAGTCGAGCCTCGCGGAAATCAAGAGCCACGCGGAAGCTGAGCCTCGCGGAAGCTGAGAGCCACGATTCCCATGGGAAAAAAGCCGTGGGAGGAGAAGCGTGCACAAGCGTGGGGAAGGGATTAGTACGTTTTTGCACGGAGGCGGAAGAGTTGCTGGGTTTCCAATCGTGCCTTGCTCCTGCCCCTTCACGCAGAACGCCACGCTGGCCCTCAAAGCTTGGCCTTGGCCAGAGAATAAACAGACTCGGAGGCACTCAGTGAACTTCTGAACGGAGAAGAGCGGTAACCCGGAGCTGCCTCAGGGGCTCCAAAGCGCATCAACTGGTGAACTGGTCTTGCTTAGTTATTGGGCTGTGGAAAAAGACAAACTTCTGCTTCCTAGGGAATCTAACAGAAAAGCTAATAGTTGGGTGTGGTGGTGCTGCCTGTGGTCTAGGCTGTTTGAGAGGCTGAGGCAGGAGGATACTTGAGCCCCAGATTTTGAGGCCAGCCTGGGCAACAAGGTGAGACTCCTTCCCCCTAATAAAGACAAAAACAACAGCAAAAAGCTTAGCACATGCTTCATTTCGGCTACTGGAAATCACTTTTCAAATCAGTCCCAGATTCCATGTATATGTTATGAAATGTGTACAATGATGGCCCCGGGTAAATCCAAAATTTCTAGAACTTAGTCACCCTGTTGTGTGTTACTATTTGGGAAAAGTGAAGCCCTTTCATGCTTATTTGGAGATTTGATGGACTTTGCAGAAGAAAATGGATCTTATTTGAGTCAAAGCGGGAGCAACAGAAGCCTGAGTTTACAAACCGGTGTCGGTCCTCAGTGGAGCCCTCGTCCCGCAGGTGACCCTGGCAGCCGGTGAAGAAAGCCATGCTTACTCAGAGACAACAGGGAAGTTACCAACGGGCCAGAAAATTTCTTTTTTCTAAGTACCATCTGCTCTGTAGGCGGCATATCTGTTGTGTGTGTCTCTGTGCCATGTATTTTGTTTTTGCCTTATTCCCAATTCAGGAGGCAGAAATCGTGTCGAGACTTAGCGAGGGCTGATTTGTTTTATGCCTGTCTTGCAAGTTTGGCTCCTCGAATGCGCATTCTGATAGTGGTGACGTTGTAAGCGTCCCATGGGAGTAAAAACGGTGAAACTGCTTCAGTAAAGGAAGAGATGCCTTTCGGGGTCTCACATGAAGCCCAGTCTGGCTTCGAACTCGCAGCTGGAGTCGGGGAGTACTGTCGTGCACCACTAGAGATGTCTTTGGTTACAGGGCTGGGGGCACACAGGGACCCGGCGGCGACCTTTCACTTTTTGACCTTTTTCCTCGTGAATGTGGTTCATTTCCTCATAGCCGTAAAATGTGAGCGACTGTCAGCAGAATGCCAGAGGGCGTACGTTTGCAAAAGTAGGTTGCTATTGCCAATTTTATTGGGAAAAGTGGCCCACGAAGTGTTCTGTCATATTTTTATATTCTTCAAACAAATTCCCTTCTAAAAAATGTACAAAAAAAATCCCTCTTTAATTTTTTATGTTTTTTGGATTTTCATCTTTCAAGATTTTAATTTCAGTTTTTGAGAACGTCAACGTTTGGCATTATGGCACTTGGGACTCTGTCCTTTTCCATGAAGGCCCTGGCCCTGTCCACTCCTGTATGGTGTGACTCAGATTAGACTGGATGGGGAGGAAAAGAGAACAGGTCAGGGCTGGGGGCTGGGGTGCAGCTCAGTGGCACCACATGCGCAGCATGTGCAGAGGCCCTGGGTTCCATCTCAGCGCCCCCCAACCCCTTGAAAGGGCTGGGGTCTGACTTGGGCAGAACCAGAGCTGACCCCGTGGAGCCAAGGCGGTGGGGGGAGCAGATGATATTCACCGTGGTGCTGTGGCAGCAAGTTCTGGAGCACTGAGCCCCGTGGGATGCCCCGGGTGTGGGCACAGTCCTGGCACGGGAACCCCTCGCTGCTCCTTCAGCCAGGTCAGGCACAGGAGCTTACCCAGGACCTGTTTTTTCCATGTTTGCACCACTCACGCTTCACAAGGTTTCAGAGGAAGGAGGGAGGGAGGGAGGGAAGGAAGGGAGGAAACCGTAAGTTTCATGGCCCACGATCACATCTGAAGAGATTTCAGGAGGAAGGATTTTGGGGGCTGTGGTCCCAGTGTGAATCAGTGTACACAATTCTGATAGAGTCTGTGTGCTCAGAGGCTATATTAACAGAGCATCATGACCAGGACTAAGGAGATGATAAAACCTCTTCCCACATCACCGTCAGATCACAGGACTGTTTGTGTCCTGTGGATTCAGTACTTTGAGAAGAGTGTTGAGAAACACAGGTATGAGCTGAGCTTCCTAAGTAAGGAGTGACTCACCCGAGGAGAAGGAGGGGCGCCACACGCCCTCCAGGGCACTGTGGCCCTGTCCCCACCATGCCACTCCCTGTCCCTTGGGGGCTGTGAGCCTCGTTTGCCTGGACCGGGGCCTCCCTCCGTGGGGATGGCAGTTTCCTGTTCGCCAGGCTGCTTCTGGCCAGCCGCTTCCGCTCCTGGAGTGCAGCTGGGGTCCAGGCCTGGAGCCCGCCCTGCTGGGAACTGGGAAGGGCGGTGCCCACCTGTGTGAGACCAAGGGCTCCTTTTGGCCAGGCAGCTCCCTGGGGCCCTGCATGCGAGAGGCTGAACTGGGACCTCTGCCTGGACGTCCCCACTGCAGTGAGCAGAGCCGGCTACCGGGGAGATGGAGCTGGGGACATCGCAGGAGGGCACAGGATTGCAAGAGGACTCGGGGTCCTGGGGTGCTGTGCTGAGGGACAGTGACTTTGTGTTGGATGGTGTCTCTGGACTGGGCATGCATGGCACACTGGGGACAGGGACAGTGTACCCTGGAGGGTGTGTGGTGCCCGGGACAGGAGCAGGGCACAGGGGTGTCTGGGTCTGCGTCTTTGGTCGGTGTCTTGGCTCCTGGCAGAAAGCAGAGCGATGCCCAAAACATGCCTGCCACACACAAAACTCCTACCATGCATCCTTTGGTGGCAACTTGCAAATAAAGTAAATTTTGGCAGAGAAGCCAGGAGGGCACCGAGAGGCGCTTCCCCAGCCCCTTAGCGTAAGTGACCAGTGTGCCTACCCCATCCCAAGGACCTTCCACCAGCCTCCTGCCCAGAACTGTGACCCTGGACACCTGTGCTGGCCTTGGCCCAGCCTCGCTGTGGCCTTGCCGTTCTGCAGTGACCTCGCTTGGAGGACCTGCTTGGCCACAGGGTGCATCTGCGTCTGTGGGGAGCCCGGTCCTGCCTGGGCTCTGGTGGCCTGAGAGCGACTGAGGGTTCTGTGGTGACAGCAGCACAGGGGTCTCCTGCCCGTGCCTGTGGCATCTGCTCAATGCATGAAACTGCATTTCACAGCCCAAGACGTGGCAGATGTGGCCGTGTCCCCATCCCAGGGACCCCAGCCCCCGGGCAGAGCCGGAAGGGATGCACCCCAGACGTGCACCCTGCTTCAGCAAGTTCTGCCCGAAGGAGGCCCCCACCCCACACACTGGGTGGGTGGCCCGCTGTCTGCCAGGGCACTGTGTGGTGGGAGGGCCCTGGAGGGCACTAGCAGGGCTGTTACACAGGTGAAACCAAACCACAGCAGGGTCACAGGGTGGCAGTGAGCATGCGGCTGTACCTTTGGTCTCTGCCAGCAGCTCCTCTGTGAACTTCACCGCCTGTGCCACCTGCACCCAAGGGAAGCCTCTGCTGGCTGTGAAGAGGACACTGTTGTAGAGCGCATCCAGCAGGATGCTCCTGCGCGTGTCCCCGAGCTCGTCCAGCTCCTCCCAGCGCAGGAGTCTTCGCAGGTGCTCCCGGCCTCTCTGTTTCTGCAGAAACCAGATGCCTCCTTACTGAGAGAATCTGGGGCAGGGCACACGCCCTGGAGGAACCCGGGTGTGGTGTGCCTGGGAAGAATTCTGTCCGGTCTCTAGACAGTTCCCCACCACCACCTTTTTGGGGACCCTTTCTCTTTCCAAGAGCTCCTCTTTCTCTGGGAGTTCTCATCCCTGCCGCTGGAGCCCCAGGTGTGGATGCTTCCACAGGCTTCAAGTTCTGGATTATGGCCTCTCGTCTCCCCTAAAATGGAAATTGATTTCCTTTCCAAACTACTGTACTTTTAATAGCTATCTTACTGGGTAGATGATAGAATTTATAGTAAAGTGTAAATGACTAATGAACAGGAGGTTATCTATTTATTTTGCCATATTGGAGACTGAACCCAGGACCCTCACACTGAACTATACCCTCAGCTTTTTCTTAATCTTTTGAGACAGGCTCTCCCTAAGCTGTTATGTTCCTACGCTGGGTTTGAACTTGTGATCTTCCTGCCTCAGCTTTCCAACCCACTGCCTGGGGTAAGAAAAGGGGTGAGGCCACACGGAGACCCACATAGGAGTGCCAGTACCACCTCCCGGAGCAAGGAGGTACTGGGGACCTCGACGACCAATGGCAGGGCTGGGGATGGGAGCCAGCGCCCTCTCCCATCTGTACCACTCCTCTCTGATACAGCACCAACCTGCTGCGACCCCCCAAGTCAGCAGAGCACCTCCCACTACACTGGGTCTCCCCCGAAGCCCTGGGTTACAGAGCATTAGGACCCTGCTTATAGGCTCAGGGCTTGTGTGCTGGGGGAAGACCTCTTGTCTTCCTGCTGCCCTGCCAAGCCACCCAGCAGGACTCTGGAGCCCAGCCTGGCCTCCCTCACCGGCAGCCGAAAGACTTCTCTGGCTCCCTGGGGTGTTAGCAGTGCCATGGCCCCCACATCTGGTTGCTAGGAGACCTCACCAGGATGCCAGAGGTTCTGGAACAGGGGGTCAGTGCCAGCTTTGTTAGGGCGCAGGCTGCTTTGGCCCACAGGATCTCTCTCCTCTCTGGGCTCTGCTCCACTGTGCCCGGGTCCTGGCCCTGTGCCCGTGTGTGCTGGGACCTCTGACGTGACTTCCGCCATCCTCTGCCTGCCCAGTGAGTGGCAGTGGACGTACCGCACACACACATACCTGCATGCACACATAAGCCCGCATGCACGCATGCACACACACACACACACACACACACACACACGCACACACGCACACACACTTCTTCGCACCCTTCCCAACCCTCGAACCCAGACCGGTCTGCACCTATCCTTGCCAGGTCAGGATCCATCTCCAGGTCAGATGTGTCCACCGCTGTCTCCTTAACTCCCATTGCCCTAGAATCAGCCTCCTCTGCTGCGTCACAGGCCTGCACCCTCTGTGAATCTGTATTTTCAGCATCATGGTAGTGTTTTGGGGTGCAGGAAGCAGCTCCACAAGGGTGCCCCCAAGTAGCGCACCAGGCGCCCCGGCCCCGCTGGGTTGAGGAGCCCAGGTTCCCACCCGGCTCTGCCCTCCTCCATGCTGGGAACTGAGGGGCCCAGGGCTCCCTGGGGCAAATCTGCCCCCCACCCCATGGACAGAGCCCCGGAGATGGCCCCTCTGCGCACCCCAGCTCCTCATCTGCTGATGATGCAGCTCTCCCTCCCTCCAGCGCTCCCGGCCCCACCCACTCTGCCCCGTGACTGCAGCCCCACATCTCTGCCGGCCTAATCACTGCGTGTGGCCCTGCCCTGAGCCGGTCCCTGTGGGCAGTGCTGCACCTCATCACTTTCTCTTGGCCGTTTGGAGATTTCAGAGCCGCCCACCCCCACACACTGAAAGGCCAGCAGCTCATTGTTTTATCTGTGACTTTTGTCCACTCCCGTGCAGGACTAGCACATAGTCGTCGGTGACCACGTTTGCCACGGCTCTTAGAAGGGCATTCCATTTTCTGTGGGTGGTTGCTTCCCCTTCCGAGCCCCCTTGTCCTGCGAGGCTCTGGACAACGTCTTCTGGGCCTCCAGAACCCGGTGCACACTGAAGGCCTAGTAAGTTATCTATGAGTTGAAGACAGGAAGTGGCACTGAGCTTGGGACTAGCCACACAGTGTCTTGTGCTGAGGGGCAGAGCTGCTACAGGGACCCAGTCCTGACAGGTGGCTGTCCTGACTGCAGCAGCAAACCCCAGGAATGATCTCCTTCGGACCGGACAGTGAGGCCTCCAGACTCTACGGCTAAAGTCGCATTTACCTGTCTGCTTGCGTCAGGCTGCAAGACACAGATAGCGTGTGGATTTTGACTGTCCTTGGCTCAGGGAGGATCTGACCACGATGCTTTTCTTTCCAGTCTGTTATCAGCAGCATCATCAACATCGCATTTGTCATCTTCTTTGATGTCTCCCTCGAACTCCCTACACAGACGTGAGCAAGGGTGCCAAAAATGCGGTCAGGGCGCCCCTAAGCTTTCCATCTGGAGCGGACACAGATCCTCTCCTCTCAGCCTTAGTTCCTTAACTCTCCAGATAGTGGGATGAAGCTTGAGAAGCCCGAAGGACGTCACCAGGCAGATAGCGGAGTCTAGGTGTGGACTCCAGCCTCTGGCCCTGAGCTGGTGCCTTTTCACCACTTCCTGTCTTCGGCCTGATGGTCAGGTGGGTATCTCAGCGGGCCACAGCGTCTGGGTATTTAGTCAGTGCCAGGCTGGGCATTGTTGGGTGGGCATTCAGAGGTGTGCTTGGCCCCTGCAGCCATTCACTGTGAGGAAGCCGCTGCTCTCAGTATTAGGGTTCAGCCTTATCCAGCCAGCGGAGAACTTGCGAGGAGAAAACTCCTGAAAAAGAAGAAATTCTGCCTCAGTGCTGCAGTATTGGCTTCTGCCTGAGTTTCCTGCCTGCTCACTGGCTCTACAGATTTTGAATTTGCCATCTCACATAGCCAGTCCCCTAGCATAGATAGAGAGAGGAAGACCTGTCCGTGTGTCCATCTGTATACCCACCCACCTATCATGTCTCACCCATCTGCCTTCTGTCTACCCACGGTCATGTACTAGTCCATCAGTCCATCCACCCAGCCCCTGGGTCCTGCCTGCTGGACAGCCCTGATCCACACACTGCCCCAAGAGGACTTACCTGGCCACATCACCATTGTGCTCGCACAGGTACAACATATATAATGTAACCAAAATGCATACAAATGAGATTATCTAAAAATGATTTCTACCTACTCATAATACCCAAGGACACACAGCATGGGGCAGTTGGCAGATGGGCTTGGAGGCACTGGCAAGAGATGCCACTCTTGACCCATCTTGGGCCATGGCACAGAAGCCAGCTGCACTAGAGAACCCTTGGCCTTGACTTTTGGTGCCACTGAGCAGGTGAATTACTGTGGGCTTCACCAAAGATGATAGGAACAAGCCGTGTGACATAGAAATCACCATCTCTGGGTCTTCCCGGTCTCACAGCTCTGACTTCTGAAGTATGAAGGCTGGTGCCGAACATGGCAAAGGACAGACTCTAGGAAGAGGATTGTTGCAGACCAAAGGCTGGTGACCTTGCACTGCAGTGGAAACTCATTAAGACAGTGTCACCTGCTGACCCTGGGGATGGATGACACATGCCAACCAAGGTGGTTGCCACAGGGGGTACAGCAAGGAAAATGCAGATTGTTGGCAGCAAAGTTTGGATCGGGGTGAATTTATACCAGGGTTGGGGGAGATGAGACTACTGTTGCTGGGGGAGATGGCCTCTGCCTATGGCTGTCTCAGTGCTAAATGAGAGTGCTGCAATTCTTTAGCTCATATATTTAAGACAATTATAAAACATTTTGCCAAAGTGCCCATCAGATTTACCAATTTAAGTGCACCGTTTGCGGCACTAAGCTTGTGTGCGTTGTGTGTACCATCTCCACCACCCCTCTCTGGGGCACGCTTCATTCCTCAAGATGATGCTCTGCACCCCTTGAAAGCTAAGTTCCCCTTCTCCCTCCTTCACCTCTGGAACCCCCATTCTTCTCTCTGTCTGTGAATTTCATGGTACTAGGAGCCTCGTAAGACTGGAATCAGGCACTGTTTGTTCCTCGTTACTGGTTTAATTTGCTAAGTACAAGTTTCCTTCATGTGGCAGTGTTACTGGGTTGGGTTTCTGTCCAGGCTTTGATGTCTTAAACAAAGGATAGAGCAGAACACTGGAGAGTCGCAGTGGGATCAATGATTGATTGAAAGAGAAAAGATAAGATCCATTCCACCGCATGGGAGCCAGCCAGCGAGAAGAGCTCACCGCCCCAAGGGGCCTTGGTGCTGAGGGATTGAAGCTTTAGGGTTTGAGGTGGGATTGAGGGCTTGGTCTGAGCGCTAGGCAGTGACTTTTTTTCCTTTGATGGCCCTTGGAGGAACTGTCATGGCATCCAAAGCCATGGGGTGGGTCAAATCTGCGTGGTCAGTGACTTGGCGATTAAGGCCAGAGTTGGCCAAGGGCTGCAGAAGACAACTGGGCACTTGCCCCAGGGGACTTACTGTGCAGAAGCTAAGAGTTATCTGGTTATTTTCCCCATTGTGTTTAGAACTGGGCTTCCTGTCCCTGGGTAATGTTTAACTCAGAAGGTGAATCTGGTCCCAGAAAGCAGGTTCCATGGCCTCAGCCATTTCCTTATGTCTTAGATCTAGCTCAGAAAGGCGACTCTAAGGCTGGCTGACCCTCCCTTCTTTCTGCAGCCTTTTACCTAGTTACTTCCTGTGTGTCAGAATTCTCTTCCTTTTTAGAGGTTGAATAATATTCCACGGTACATACTGACCACATTTTTAAAATCCATTTGTCAAAGATACTTGGGCTGCTTCCACCCTTAGTGATTACGTGCTGTAGAAGTCCTTGTGCATGGGCTCCTGGGTGAAGACCCGGAATTCACAAGAGCCTTGGCCCTGCAGATAGCCCCAGACACAGAGCGAGGGGTGCTGAGGGTCCTAGTCAGGCTGGGAGGGGTGGAGCTTCTTCAGCTGCTTCTCTGAGAGACAGTGGCCCAGGGCTGGCTGGAAATATGGTCAGTGAAATGCACTGGGTACATCCTGGCCCCACCATGCAGCACGCCGCAGTGTCCCCTGATTCCCCTCCTGACCACTAGCCCAGCAAAAGATCAGATTGTTAAAGGCGTGGCCACTCATTTACCACTGTAAAGATGGGACATGGAAGATCAGGGACAGTTCCTCCATCCGGGAGACTGGGGAGAGCTGGGGACATGAGAGGTGAAGAGAGGGACACGAGAGGTGAAGAGAGAGTCTTCAGAGCCCAGCACATCAGCCGGGAAAGCATTGTTCTCTTTTTTGGCATCGCCTATACCCAGGATAGCATCAGATGCAAAATGAGGACTGGTGTCTGTTATCCATGTAGCAGCAGTAATATATGCTGAATTAATGAAAGAAGGAATTCCCTTCAGCGATAGTAACCTTGTCATCAGAGGGCTGGGTCTTGTGGTCCCCCCCTCCTCCATGTGTTAGGCCAATGGCTTCTTTCAAACCAGGGTCTCTGGACTTCAGCACAAGTGACACTGGAGCCGGGTCATTCTTTGTCACTGGGGCTGTCTGTGCATCGCGGGGTGTTTAGCAGCAGCCCTGCCCTCTGCCCACTGGGTGTCAATGATGGTGCCTTTCCAGCTGTGGCAGCCAAAATGTCTCCAGAAGAGCCCAGCCGGCCCCGGTTACAGCCGTGGTTCAGGGCAGTAGGGACGTCTGTCTTGCTTTGGCTGGGGGCAGGGGGCAGCCTAGCTGCTATCTTTTTGGTTATCCTTTGTTTCCATTCACCTCTCACGGTCATGAACTTGGATTAAGGTGTGCATTCATGCACAGATACCCTGCTCCATCCAAAAGGGAATGTCCTCTCCTCCTGTCCTTCAAGAGTGATGTCCTCCCTCCAGGCATGACAACCTTTGCAGCTGTA